AGGATTGGCGTATTGAGATATGTGCTTCTGAGGAATCCGCGGAGGGGCGTATCCCATAGTGAGACATCTCACTCATGTTACTCAGAGAACCGGGGTTACGATAGTAACCTAAAGTTTCAATATTACAGACGATGCTACACTGTATACACTGTACACTGATATTACTCGTGACACCCTCCTGAATCAATGCAGGTGTCATGCAACTTTAGAACAATAATGGAGAGTCTGTACCCTCAAGCAGCAAGGGCAGCTGTAGACCATGATAAAAGATCATCTTTAATTTTCGTACTTACCTTTAAGTCTGTAATTAGGCGCCATTCTTCTTATTTTACAGCGCTTTTTTTTATTGAACTTTTTCATTTACAAACAACATGGCATAAATTCCTTTGTTTTACATTAAATTTTTACAGATGTCTTGTTATTCAATTGGAAAGAAACTTATTTTTGCATCCGAACACAGAATCTGATATGACCAAATTACACACGAGCAAGTACATTTTAAATAAAACACATCACTCGTTACTTATGTCTCAATTTTTATTTACTCTTTTTACTCCTTACAATGTGTACATATTCAGTATTTAGATTGTTTTACCTTTTGGATATTTTAAGTTAGTCTGTTTTATGTTTTCTTTTAGTTTACTCTTTATTATTATGTTTTACTCTCCTGTTTGGCTTCTGTAATGAACGTTAATGCTGCTGTGACACCACAGTTTCCCCACTGAGGGACAATAAAGGGATTTTCTATTCTATTCTTCAATCTGTAGTCTGTCCAGTTCCCATTTTAGAGTAAGTTTAATCTTTTTTTACAGGCCAACAACAAAAACCAAAAATGGCAATTATCTTCTATGAAAATATCTCAGTTATTAACCTTTCATGCTTTGGAGCAGAAAAAGTGCATGACAATTAAATGTTTCAAGCTCAGTTCGCTCCACTCTGATGGTCACCTGTTCCAGCCAGATACCTTCTTTCTAGGCGTTCAAAGTCGGAAACTCGCTGAGTAATGGGCTCGACACACGGGAGGCGACATCGCCTCTCCTCCATTCATTTTCAATGAGACATGCGCGACAAAGCGATAATCACGGGTCTCTCTCCTACCAAGCGAAACGCGAAAAACGTGCGTGTGAAAGTTTGCACTCGTGCACGTGTCGTGCACGTACGACCCAGCGACGCGATCCCAGAAAGTTGAAACATTTTCAACTTTTCATCGCTGTCGCTCGGACGAGGACCAATCAACGGAGGTTTCATTCACTGACCAATGAGCGGACAGGATGCTCCGTACATCTCCGAGCAAACATGAAGGAGAAGTTGATTATTATTATGTTTTATATAGTAAAATCAGAAGTAAGATTTCACATAACTCCAGCAGCACCTTGTGAAACATCATATCTACCACTTTTTTTAACTCTGAACCGCTTAAATAACCTTGATTCCCTCCAACCTGACACAGCCAAACAAAACTACGGAAGTTTCGATTTCGCCATGGAACAGAACGCTGTAGACGGCTTTGCCGCTGGCCGCTGCCGCGGATCGCCTCCCGTGTGACAGGTAATAAAAGCGACGGCGACGAATTTCGCTGATCGCGATCGTTTGTCGCCTTGACGCCAGGCCTGAATAACCTGTATAATAATTAAAGTCATCATGCTATAGAGCAGCTTTCTCTGGGGTGGACCACACCAGCTTCTGCCACAATAAATAATAATAATAATAATAATAACAAATCACACACAACGCTGTAAACATTTTAATTTTCTTTCTGAACTATTTCTGTTGAGAGTTTTAATGTTTAAAGGGACTTTACAGAGTTTTGAATTTTTATGCTCGCGATTCCCCCCTCAGGCCAAATGCGTAACAGCAGCTTCAATAGGAGGCTCTAGCATGAGGCGCGCATGCTGTACATGCACACTCCTTAATGAAAATAACAGCTGAGACAGTCCCTTGTGTGTGTGTGTGTGTGTGTGTGTGTGTGTGTGTGTGTGTGTGTGTGTGTGTGTGTGTGTGTGTGTGTGTGTGTGTGTGTGTTTGTGGCCCGGAGGACAGAGGACAGGAGAACGTGCAGCTAATTAATTAAATAATTTGGTTCTGTACCTTTCTCTTCAGCACAGCCGACAAAGGTTTAAGATGGGTCAGTCCTCCTGCATGCTCAGATCATTCCCTTCCCTTGCTTGAAAAATTGTTCCAAAATGAAGGTTGAACCCACATCTTTTTTACCTGTGAATTCAATGCCGTTCGGCGAGTTTCAAATAAAAATTTGGGCATCTTACTGTAAAACGGTAAGATGGTTCGGAGGGCTATGCCTGAGGGTGAACGTGCCTGAAGCAGCCTACTCGACCCGAGCAGCTCGCTTTTTCTGTGATTTTACAGAAAAACAGGCAATCACAGTAAAAATGCCAGGATTTATTTTACAGGACCAGGGCATTGCAGGAGAATGTATGAAGAAGACATTTAATATTTCTATACATGTTTTGGCTGTCAAACTTCCATAATGTCCCTTTAAAATCTGTTAAGATTGTTACTGACAGTAGCTACATTTAAGTTTCACTTTCTGTTCTGACTGAATGCTGCTGCAGCATGGAGGTGTAGTTCTCAGTCATCCTGGACATGATCATCCTGAGAGTTTTAGCTGAAAACAGCTGGACGTTTCTGGACATGTTGGAGACATTTAGCCTCTCATCCCAGAGGCTTCTTCCAGACTTTGGTTGTGGTCAGAAACAAACACACTGGTTGTGCTGCAAGTCTTTTTCTTTTTGTCTCCAAAACATGTTTTTGTCTAAATGAAAGTGATGTTGTTGTTCATAGAATTAAAATTCATGTTGAAGTTAAGATTATTTCATCAATTAGGAACTGTGGTTAGCTAGCTCATGTAAAACATGTCATGTCTTGAAAGAATTGGAATCGGGAATCGATAGGAACCGGAATCGAAACAAGGAATTGGAATTGTTCAAAATCAAACGATGCCCAACCCTAAAAATGAACATCATGTGTGCTGGGATGTGCTATCCATCTGATTCATTAACAAAAACATCTGTGGGAAGGTTTTCAGTCAAAAGCTAGTTTTGGTTATTATTAATGCATAGAAAAGCAAACAGAAGCTCTTTTGATTTCTGTCAGCCCAAAGACCACAAATTGCACATTATCCAGCAAATGAATTGCTTGTCTTTTCATGCCTACACAGGGTTTATAAGCTGTACATTTGTGCTTTTGCATAAAAAAAATTGAAAATAACATTTGTACTCCACCACCAGCTTAAAGCTGCAGCTACTCTCACGCTGCAACTGTCTCATTAGCAGATGAAAATGACCTCTGACCTGTGGCTTTACAGCACAGATGACTAACGAAGGCCATTCCTGTGAGAAATGTTGTTCTTTCAAAAGGATGCATAATAAAGTATAAAAAACACATTCTGCATGTCAGACACCTTCAGGAAAAAGGTGCATTTTCACAGTAACAGTTATGCACGAAAACATGTTATACTAGAGAAGGCATTGTGAAAAAAATGCTCTATTTCCTCAAATTTAATCGTTCACATTTTTTTAGAAAATATATGAAAGATTGTTGTTTATTTTTTAATTCTTTTGATCTTTTGAAATGTCATCCTTTTGTTAATTGTTTTCTTTTTGCAGATAAAAAAGGGTTATTGTGTCTTTTACAACAAACCTAAATTGTCTTCTTTTATGTTAGCCTAGACATCTAGGCAAACCTTAGCAGTAACAAATGATTTTGCTCTGCATATTGGTAAGTTTACTGTAGGCCCAGCCAATCTGTCACACCCTGTCCTGTCTCCCTGTTTAGTTCAGCTCTGTGTCTCGTTAATTACTCCCACCTGCCTCTTGTTTCCCAATCACCTTAGCTCCCGGTCCTCCTGTATTTAAACCCCGTCTGTTTTGTGTCCTGTGTCGAGTCATTGTTTCAGTGTCCAGCGTGTGTTAATAAATCGATGTCCGAAATCCTCACCTGTCTGCCTGTCTTCCTCCCTGCGTGTGGATCCTTGCCTCACCTCCGCTCACCTCGCCACACGCCGTGACAAAATCACAGCATTCTATGTTGGTAGAAAGATGCTGGATGAGTTTAGCAACAGACAGTGTTCTGATGAGAATTAAAAAGAGAGATCATATCTCTCCTGTCTTAGCTTCCCTACATTGGCTACCTGTTAAATTCAGAATAGATTTTAAGATCCTTCTTCTCACATATAAAGCTCTTAATAATCAAGGTCCATCATACATCAGTAATCTGATTGTTCCATATGTTCCTAACCGAGCACTTCGCTCTCAGACTGCAGGTCTACTGGTGGTTCCAAGAATATCTAAACTTAGGATGGGAGGCAGATCTTTTAGTTATCAGGCTCCTCTCCTGTGGAACCAGCTCCCAGCTTTAGTCCATGAGGCAGACACCTTGTCTACTTTTAAGACTAGGCTTAAAACATTTTTATTTGATAGGGCTTATAGTTAAAATCTGATGTTAGCCTAAATCTGGACAAGTGGGGGATTACAGGGAGGTGGAGTGTACAGTCGGTAAAGACGGCTCTCCCTTGCCCTGCCTCCAACATGCCTACATCTAAATAGGATAGGTTATCCAGAGTTAACTCTGTAGTTATGCTGCTATAGGCTTAGACTGCTGGAGGACACACTGACCACTTTTCACACTCTACTGCTTTCTTCTACAGTCTGCTCTTTAACTGTACTATTTTGTGCAATTTCAGCTGTTAACTTTATTTTCTCTGTGAGTGTTTTTCTCCCCAGAAGAAGCTGCGATGACGTTCTGCTGAGCTGTGGTGGCCTCATGGAGGGGGCCATCGACTAGCACACTGCTGCTAACCACTAATACATTCTCTCTCTCCTGATAATAACTTTTTGTTTTCATTGACTTTTGATGTGCTAATACTAGTTTATCCGTTTAATTATAGATCCACTAGGATAAATACAATAAAGTTTATCTTTCACCAAATACAATATTTACTAAGACATCACAATATAACTATAGACTCATTACTTGTGTGTGTGTGTGTGTGTGTGTGTGTGTGTGTGTGTGTGTGTGTGTGTGTGTGTGTGTGTGTGTGTGTGTGTGTGTGTGTGTGTGTGTGTGTGTGTGTGTGCCTGCCTGCCTGCCTGCTCTGTCTTCTCGATCCCCAGTGAGTCGTGGAGGATGGCTGCTTATACTGAGCCAGGATCCTCTGGAGGTTTCTTCCTGTTAAAAGGGAGTTTTCCTCTCCACTGTCGCTGCATGCTTGCTTAGTATGAGGATTGCTGTATAGTCACTGACACTAGTCAGTGACTTGATGCAATTTGCTGGGTTCCTTATATAGGAAACATTATTTCTGATTGGCTTAATGAACTGTGAATTGGAATGTTTATTATGTGAAGTGCCTTGAGATGACTCTTGTCGTGATTTGGCGCTATATAAATAAACTTGAATTGAATTGAATTGAATTGTGTATGTAGATGTGACGTGGACTGGCGCTGCCCAATCCCAATACTCGCACTGCGTTCTATGGTCTTCAGTGAAGTGCACTTGGAAGAAGTATGCAGTAAAGCTTTGAGTGTGTAGTACTAAAGTGTGCAAATAATTGCCGAATTGGGACACAGAGCATTGCGTCATCGACCGCAACGCATGCTGGGATGCTGGTCGCTGTGTTACAATAACCTTTATTAACTACTTTCAAACAACCAAACAATTTTTTGAAATACATTTACATTTATTGCTGCTTTTTCCAAAAGATTCAGAGCATCAATTAATCATCTTAAAAAAACTACTGTTATTTGAAAATACATATTTTCAGAAAAGGTACTTGAGCCTTTTCTGCCGTAGCATGAACTGTGGGAGTGGATCAAGGGTGCAAAAGAGGCATTAGAGAATCGGGACACCCTACGCACTCGCACCCCTGGCCGGGATCGTGCAATTGAAAGTTGCAAATGTGGAAGCACGAGTATTGGGATTGGGCCTGGGAGCTGGCGTAGCAGCAGGCCGCCATCTTGTATGGGTCTTCATTTGCCCTCAGTGCATTTATTTCTACTGAGGAAGGTACTTACCCAAATAAAAATGATATACTTTATTATGCTTTTTTGCAAAATCAGACATATGGAAGCATGATAAGAATTAGAAATTAAAAATCCAATGGACACGCTAGAAAAGTCAATAGCAATCTCACGTGATCTGTTTTCAAAAGTGAGCCGGTTGTTGCAACCGTAGGCTGCACAAAAAACGGGCATAGTTGCCCGCCCTGTGTTGACTGCATCGACATATATACTGGACAATTCATTTCCATAGGCTCCAATAACACATTTTTGAGGCTAAATGGGAGGTGGCCACCACCGCCATTTTGACTGTGTCACAGGTTCCGTCAAGCCTAGACAATTCCACAAAAGGGAAGAGAGGTGGAGCTGAGGGTGGGGCTGTAAGGCTGGGATCAACTGACGACATCCAGTCGAACTAGCTACAAGCTAACCTGAAGCTAACCCAAAGCTAACGCACAGATGGGAGCTAAGCTAACGGAGGTAGCAACCTAGCTACAACCGGAGTTAACTGTGCACAACACCAGAGCTTCTGAGTCAGAGATCCACTGGGTAAAACCGGGTGGAACACAGAGGTCTCCCGAAAGCTGCTGAAAGCCGGCAGCCCGTGCAGCAGACAGAAGCTGTTATCAGACAGAGATGCGCCGAGCTGCGGGGAGGGGAGAACCACAAGCTGGCAGCCCGCGCAGCAGACAGAAGCCACGATCAGACAGAGATGCGCCGAGCTGCGGGGGAGGGGAGAAACGGGTGGAAAACATCTGTCTCCCGAGAGCTCCACAAGCTGATAGTCGGAACCAGCTCCACCAACATGTTATATTTCAACCCATTTTCTAAAGTGCAGCATTATGTTAAATGCACTGGGTTTTACCCCATTACATTTAAATTTCATGGTTAAACAGTACATGTTAAAATCTAAGCTCAGCTCGGCAGTGACCTAAAATACATAAATATAATTTTACTTACCGAAAAAAATGAAGTGGAGACTCCTTGGACGCTCTATTAGTGCAATTAATGCCACAGCAAGTCATTTTGTCCAACAATTGCACAAATAATATCCAAAAGAGAATACACAAACACAGAGACTCAAAATCCCAGAACAGTTTCCAAGCCAGACCGAGGCTCTACTGAGGTCTTTCCACGGAGCTAGCTCTGTGGTCATGTGGGTCGGATGCTCATTAATTATACAGAATTTTAGGCTTTTAATGCACTTAAATAGAAAAGTGAGAAAAAAATTCACCCCCCTCAGAGTTGTCATGAGTGTAAACTAGATCATTTAAACAAAAAACATGTTTTGGTACCAGGCTGTAAACATGTTTATTTCTGCTGTGAAATTGGTATTTTTAACATGGGAGTCAATGAGGATTTGCTCGCTTCTGACACCAGCCCCCAGCGGATGAGGGCAGAACTGCAATCTTTGGTACTTCCGGGTTGGCCTCAATTTTTGAGCCGCATTGTGGGGGCTTGGTTGACTCTAATTGGGTTTGGAAAGTAAGGAACCCACCCGTAATGCTGCTATGCTCCTCAACGCCCAACGGTGCATCTACGTATTCATGTCTATGGGTTTAGCACCATCACAGCAGCTGCAACTAAGCCAAACAGCAAAGATGGTGATAGGTAATTAATTTTATCCCATATTACCTTAAAGGACGACACACAGAGAGAGAGAGTAACTTGATCATTTGTTATGTCCATGTGCGCGAATCAACATGCGAGAAGCTGGACGCAACCAACCAGCCCCCACTCTGCATACCCGCATTCTCCACCAAAATGTTAAGTAATATTTAATCTCCATAACCCTGGAACCTGAAATAAACACTCATGAGAACAAGGAAGACATTTTACCCTGAGTCCCCAAAATATGGAGAGTTAACGCAGAGGAACCTCCTCCGAGGCTTCCCCACGTCACTCCCCTGTGTTCTCAGTTCGTCAGGGGCTTTATTCAAAGGATGGAGGAGAAGGCGGGGCCTTCTCAGGTTACAGAGGTACAGAGTTTTCTCAATCAACATCCTTGCTCAACCTTTCATGAACAGCCACAGTTGGCAAACACAGAGATTCATGAAGTGTTAATGACACAAAATGGGCAGCTTTTAGGCCTCAAAAAGGTACAATTATAAAAATACCCAACAGATGGTGTCAGCTCAGGAACATTGCTTGTCTGCTACATCTTTAGCTTCAACTTTGGACTATTTATACTTGGACTCTTTTTTGAGACATGAGCAAGTGGAGGTACTGCTTCATTTTCAACGGTGTATGGTGGACTGTCCTGTTGACTGATTTCTGACTGGTTCAAGCACTATCCAGTTGGATCAGAAACACACAGCAGGTCTTAAGTTGTCAGGTGCAAATACTTTTTTTCTTAAATAAAAAAAAGGTTTGTAATTAATCAAAGTTTTAATCTTGCTTTCAAACTCTACATAGCCGAGAAACGAACATTATACCAGGGATGTAGGATAAAAAGTTCTATTGTGTCAAGTAAAAATGTAGCTTCTGATCTTGATTGATGGCTTTTTTTAAATAGTCAACAAATTGTTGCATCTCTTCATTTATTCTTAAATAGTTACATAAAATATTTTAGATGAACATATAAAAAAGCATAATTACAGGCTTTCCTGCTTTGTTGATGAATAAACATTTTAACACAAAAACAGCCCCAATGTGCAGTGCTAACTTTAGCTGCATTAACATTAAATACTGACACATAAGAAAATAGAAAAACACACTTTTGATGTAATGAAAGAAAATATACAAATTGCCAAATGTACCCAAAGCATCCACATTTTCAATCATTGCATGATCACCGTGTCCTTTTGATGGCCCACCTGAGTCAGAAGACTACACAACCTGGTCTGATAACCGTGACAGGTTGTCCACATTGTTAACTTGAGTTGACATGGACTTACGGCTGTCCGTGTTCGCTCTGGCCCTCATTCTTTTTTGCTCACTTTGCCGTTTACCACAACAGCTGCAGGTGAAGGCCGATTTGAACTCCTCACGGAACTTTCCTGGAAAAGCAGAGAGAATGAAAGCAATTTTTTATCTTTCTGTTTCACTTGAGTAAAACATATTGTTCCTTCCTAAAGACAAAAGAGCTTTTGGTGCTTTTAGTGTTTAATAATTAACTGGTGGAATGTATGATGATAAATAAACCTTGTTGGATTAGAAAAAATATGGTGAATGGAGGTCATGCCAAACTGCTCACTAGAGGGCGGCAATGAACTTGTTTTTTTATGAATGAACTGGAGAAGGAGAGGGAAGATTAGAAACTCACCACTCAGGAAATTATAAATGATGGGATTTGCTGCACTGTTGGCGTAAATGAGCCAGTGTGAGAAAGTGAACCAAGCATACACTGTTTCTCTGTCGCTAATGTTCTTGAAGGTCCCGAAGACTCTGGAGGTACAATGTTTGCGAGTTAAACAGGGAAAAGTAACTGAATGCCCTGATTTGTGCAAACAAGTAACAATTATGTTAGCGTGACTTTGAATTAACTTCAGTCACTGAGATTAGAGAATTTTAACCTGAGCTCAGATCATTTACTGCTTCCATTGTAATTTTCTCTCATTGGGTTATTTGATTGTGTATGCAGCAGAGAAGCTCAAGAGATTGTTACCTTTTCATGACATTGAGAACGCTGATTGGTAAGTAGCACAAAGCAAACACAAATAGCACCACCATCAACATGCGAGCTGTTTTTCTCCTGGCTCTGACTTGTTTGATCTCTGCACAAACTGTGCTGGTCCTAACCCTGACGGTCTCTCTCTGTCCCGTGTTCTGAGCTGAGCACCGGAGAGTCCTCCACTTCCTCTGAATCACTGATGTGCTTCCAGGAATCTGTTGATTAAATATGTGCATGCATCAGACACTAGAAGCTGAAAGACCTTTGATTCACAGCGAGTTTATAACAAACATTAACGAGATCAGGGCCCAGCACCTTAGAGCTGGGTTTGTGGATTAGCATTAAACAGCAGGGTGACGAAGATGGTTGAGTTTGTATTGAGATGCATTGCCGTCAATATCATGTAAATGAAAATTTGTGCAAGATTAAAAATCATTTCCATGTAATCATTTGGGAGATGAGTGGCGTCAGGGATAAAGTACAGTTTGCAGATACTAAAAGGTTGCAGTTTAAAAGAAAGATGGGTCATTCCCACTGCAATGACCTAGTTTGTACATCCTACAGAAGTGGTCTTCTTCCGGCTCTTGGAGGGTGCAGACGCTTTTCTTCTCCTCCATATCTTATCCTCAAGGCCTTTGACTGTCTGTGTGTGATGGGTGCACGGCTGCTTCTGCATTTTTTCTGGAAAATGGAATCTGAAATTCACTAAAATGGATCTCGTCAGTTGGTCACTTAATGTGGTTGATAAAATTTTTTCTACGATGAGAATGGGGGAAGGGGCTCCCAGATGTCCCTTTGGGACAGACCAGCTGTCTGTGGAGGACTCTGAAGATGTGTGGATATGCGTGGTGTTGGTGTCGGATTTCCTGCTGATCAGTATTGGAGGCTACCTGGCTTACTGGAAAATTAACGAGCTGTCGTGGAATATTGGCCGGATCCCAGAGCTCAGAGATGGATTGCACCGCGCTGTGAATCCACAGACTCACATAATTGCCGAGATGAATCGTAAGCTTGGGACTTTGGCCGAGATTCATTATTGGCACAAAAGATGGATGCCATCAACGAGGAAGTGGACAAATCAGCACAGATTGGGATAGTTTAATGTCCATTATTGGGATTTTGAGAGGTTGACGACCAACAAACTGTATGACAGAGAGAAAATTATCTCGGTCTGGCCCCAAAACAATTTCTAATCGGAATCTGGCGCCCTTGAGCCTACAAGGCTACAATGAAAACTCCCCCCTCAGAAGATATGTGAAATTTGCTGTCGCTATGGCAACTCAATTCTGTCTCATATCCCAGCCTGGGCGGGACTGCGGGAAGGCCGCTGAAACGTTCCAGGGTCACTGCAACCCTCCAACCTTCAATGCCCCTCCCCCTATCCACACTGAGGTGACATGCGCTGCTTCTACTGTGGCCTTCCTGGTGGGAGGGTAACTCTGAAGCGCCTTTTTTCCCCTCCACCTGAACCAGCCCTCATGTAAATCCCTCTGATCTCTATTAAGGTAGCGCGACTCATGGTTGCGAATGACCACAGTCACCAATCCTTGTCATGTGTCTTTCCCATGTATGTCTGATCTCTGAATTGTGTGTACTGAAACTCTAATTTCCCTCTGGGATTAATAAAGTATCTTTGATTTGATTTGATTAGCACTCAACTCAACTCAAGCTTTATTTCTAAAGTGCCTTACAGGCACGGGGTGACACCAGAGCGCTGTGCAGACATGTATTAGTAATAATAGGACAAGGATTAAAACAAGAATAAAAACAAATGCAAAAAAGAAAAAGAAACAAAAACAGCATACAAATTGCACTAATAAAAGAAAATAAAAGCAGACTAATGGTCACGGGTAAAGGCCAGATCCAATAAAACCCTGACCTTAAAAACTGTCACCAATGGTGAAGTACGCACGTTAAAAAGTAACTCATTCCAGAGTTTCGGGTCTGCCAAGGAAAAAGCGCTGTCTCCTCGTCTTTAAACGAGTCCTAGGAACTGTGAGGAGGAGACTGTCTGAGCTGAGTGCCCGTGCTGGTGTATATGGATGTATCAGTGTCTGCAAATATGTGGGAGCTAATCCATTTAACGATTTTAAAACCAGTAGAAAGACTTTAAAACAAGTCCGGAAATCCACAGGCAGCCGGTGCAAGGATTTCAAGACCGGGGAGACAAGGTCAAATTTCCTTTTTCCCACGAAAATTTTGCCGCCGCATTTTGCACTAGTTGCAGCCTTGCCCAAGTTGCCCATGTCACTCCAAAAAGGATGGAATTACAATAGTCAATCCGTAATGTAATAAAAGCATGAACTACTATTTCCAAGTGGTGTCTTGTCAGGACCAACGGACTCAATATAGATATGACCTGAACGCCCATGCGAAGTTGACTGTTTGTAGGGTTAAAATGAACAAAAGTGTAAAAAAACTGACTTTATAAACTAAGATTATTACATCATATATGTAATAAACTGAAACAAAATCATGTGCTTGCTTGAATTTGTATTTGAATGCATTTTATTTTTCCGTTTCCATTCCCAAGACTAATTGACTCTACTGGGGTGACCATTGGAAAATAAAAGCTAGATTTTCCCTACTGCAATTTCATCCATCCATCCATCCATTTTCATCCGCTTATCCGGAGTCGGGTCGCGAGGGCAGTAGCCTAAGGCGAGAGGCCCAGACTTCCTTCTCCCCAGCCACTTGGACCAGCTCCTCCGGGGGAATCCCAAGGCATTCCCTGGTCAGGTGACAGACATAGTCCCTCCACCGTGTCCTGGGTCTACCTTTAGGTCTCCATTCCCAAGACTAATTGACTCTACTGGGGTGACCATTGGAAAATAAAAGCTAGATTTTCCCTACTGCAATTTCATCCATCCATCCATCCATTTTCATCCGCTTATCCGGAGTCGGGTCGCGAGGGCAGTAGCCTAAGGCGAGAGGCCCAGACTTCCTTCTCCCCAGCCACTTGGACCAGTTCCTCCGGGGGAATCCCAAGGCATTCCCTGGTCAGGTGACAGACATAGTCCCTCCACCGTGTCCTGGGTCTACCTTTAGGTCTCCTCCTGGTTGGACATGCCCGGAAAACCTCACCAGGGAGGCATCCTGACCAGACGCACGAGCCACCTCAACTGGCTCCTCTCGATGTGGAGGAGCAGCAGGTCTACTCCAAGCCCCTACCGAATGACCGAACTTCTCACCCTATCTCTAAGGGAGAGCCCAGCCACTCTTCGGAGAAAACTCATTTCGGCCGCTTGTATCCGCGATCTCGTTCTTTCAGTCACTACCCAAAGCTCATGACCATTGGTGAGGGTAGGAACGTAGACTGACCGGTAAATCGAGAGCTTCGCCTTCTGACTCAGCTCTCTCTTCACCACGACAGATCGGTACGACGCCCGCATCACTGCAGATGCAGCACCTATACGCCTATCAATCTCACGCTCCAGTTTTCCCTCACTCGTGAACAAGACCCCGAGATACTTAAACTCCTCCACTTGGGGCAGGACCTCATACCTGACTCGGAGAAGGCATTCTACCCTTTTCCGAATCAAGACCATGGTCTCAGATTGAGAGGAGCTGATTCTCATCCCAGCTGCTTCACACTCAGCTGCGAACCGCTCCAGCGAAAGCTGAAGATCACGTTCTGATGAAGCCAACAGGACCACATCATCTGCAAAAAGCAGAGACCTGATCCTCAGGCCACCAAAACGGATGCCCTCCACACCTTGGCTGCGCCTAGAAATCCTGTCCATAAAGGTTATGAACAGAATCAGTGACAAAGGGCAGCCTTGGCGGAATCTAACTCTCACTGGGAACGAGCCCGACTTACTGCCGGCAATGCGGAACAAGCTCTGACACCAGTCATACAGGGACCTAACAGCCCATATCAGAGGGCCTGGTACCCCATACTCCTGGAGTACAGACCCACAGGGCCCCCGAGGGATGCGGTTAAATGCCTTCTCCAAATCCACAAAACACCTGTAGACTGGTTGAGCAAATTCCCACGCACCCTCCAGGATCGCCCTAAGGGTATAGAGCTTGTCCAGTGTTCCACAGCCAGGACGAAAACCACATTGCTCCTCCTGAATCTGAGGTTCAACAATCCGATGGACCTTCCTCTCCTCGCCCCTAAATAGACCTTACCAGGAAGGCTCAGGAGTGTGATCCCCCTGTAGTTGGAACACACCCTGCGGTCCCCCTTTTTAAATAAGGGGACCACCACCCCGATCTGCCAGTCCAGTGGGACTGCCCCCGATGTCCACGCAATATTGCAGAGCCGCATCAGTCAACACAGCCCCACAACATCCAGAGCCTTAAGAAACTCCGGGCAGATCTCATCCACCCCTGGAGCCTTGCCATAGAGGAGCTTTTTAACCACCTCAGTGACCTCAGCACCAGAGATTTGAGAGGCCAGCCCAAAGTTCCCAGACTCTGCTTCCTCACTGTCGGTGGGATTGAGGAGGTCTTCAAAGTATTCTGCCCACCGATCTACAACGTCCTGAGTAGAGGTCAGCAGCACGCCATCCCCACTATAGATAGTGTTGGTAGCGCATTGCTTTCCCCCCTGAGGCGCCGGTCGGTAGACCAGAATCTCCTATAAGCTGTACGGAAGTCTTGCTTCATGGTCTCACTAAACTCCTCCAATGCCCGGGTTTTTGCCTTGGCAACCACCCGAGCCACATTCCACTTGGACTGCCGGTACCCGTCAGCAACCTCTGGAGTCCCAAAGGCCAAAAAGACCTGATAGGACTCTTTCTTCAGCTTGACAGCATCCCTAACCACCGGTGTCCACCAGCGGGTTCGGGGGTTGCCACCACGACAGGCACCGATGATCCTGCAACCACAGCTCTAGTCGGCCACCTCAACAGTGGAGGCACGGAACAGGGTCCATTCAGACTCAATGACCCCCGCCTCCCCCGGGACATTTTGGAAGTTCTGTCGGAGGTGGGAATTGAAGCTCCTTCTGACAGGAGACTCTGCCAGATGTTCCCAGCAGACCCTCGCGATTCGTTTGGGCCTGCCTGGTCTGACCGGCATCCTCCCCCACCATCTGAGCCAACTCACCAACAGGTAGTGGTCAGTTGACAGCTCCGGCCCTCTCTTCACCCGAGTGTCCAAGACATGCGGCCGCATGTCAGATGAAACAACAACAAAGTCGATCATCGAGCTGCGGCCTAAGGTATCCTGGTGCCAAGAGCATATATGGACACCTTTATGTCTGAACATGGTGTTCATTATGGACAATCCATGACTGACACAGAAGTCCAATAACAAAACACCACTCGAATTCAGATCCGGGGGGCCGTTCCTCCTAACCACACCTCTCCAGGTCTCACTGTTGTTGCCCATGTGAGCGTTTAAAGTCCCCCAGCAGAACGAGGGAGTCATCGGAAGGAGCACTTTCCAGCACCCCCCTCCAAGGTCTCCAAAAAGTCTGGGTAGTCAGAACTGTAGTTTGGTGCATAAGCACAGACCACAGTCAGAACCCATCCCCACACACGTAGGCGGAGGGAGGCTACCCTCTCACTCACTGGGGTAAACCCCAACGTGCAGGCACCAAGATGGGGGGCAACTAGTATGCCCACCCCTGCTCGGCGCCTCTCAGTGGGAGCAACTCCAGAGTGGTAGAAAGTCCAACCCCTCTCAAGGAAACTGGTTCCAGAGCCATGCGTTGAGGTGAGTCCGACTATATCTAGTCGGAACCTCTCAACCTCACACACCAACCCAGGCTCCTTCCCCACCAGAGAGGTGACATTCCATGTGCCAAGAGCCAGCTTCTGTAGCTGAGGATCAGACTGCCATGGTCCCCGCCCTCGACTACCACCCGTCACACACTGCACCTGACCTCTTTGGTCCCTCTCACAAGTGGTGAGCCCATGGGAAGGGGGACCCACGTTTCCTCTTCGGGCTGTGCACAGCCGGGCTCCATGGGTGAAAGCCCGGCCACCAGGCGCTCGCCAACGTGCCCCACCTCCAGGCCTGGCTCCAGAAGGGGGCCCCGGTGACCCACGTCCGGGCGAGGGAACACGGTTTACATTTATTTAATTAATCATAAGAGGTCTTTGGGCTGCTCTTTGTCTGATCCCTTACCTAGGACCTGTTTGCCATGGGTGACCCTACCAGAGGCAGAAGGCCTCAGACAACTTAGCTCCTAGGATCGTTGAGACACTCAAACCCCTCCACCACGGTAAGGTGGCAGCCCAGGAAGACTGCAATTGAAATAATAATTTAATGTATTTTCAAACAGGATGAAGGGAATTACTTTTGTCATCAAGGTATTTAATTTAAACACTTATGGTTGGATTTAGCGGCAGGAACTGCTTTGAAGAGGACATTTTATGACTTGCCTTAAGTTATAATAATTCTATGGTCAATACAAAACACGTTTTGCACAAAATCCCTCTCACTCAAATGATCACAGTCATTATCTTGACATTTTGCGTACATTCCAGAATGAGCTGTTTCAGGGTTATGTCACTTTAACCCTTCCACTGTCCTAATGGGTGACCCCACGAGGAAAGTTGACCATTGAGCAGAGTTGATGGTTTATCCCTTGAGGTCCATGTGGCAGGGGTGAGGAGTGAGCACCACCTCACCCCTGCCACATTGGTACATTGGTAGATTCTCACTGAATGCTGAATCAAAACTATGATTGAACACATGTGGAGTTCTGTACTTAACCCAAAAAGGTGAAATAACTGAAAACATGTTTTATTTTCTATTTTCTTCAAAATAGCCACCATTTGCTCTGATTACTGCTTTACACCCTCTTGGTATTCTCTTGATGAGCTGCAAGAGGTAGCCACCGTAAATGGTTTTCCAACAGTCTAGAAAGAGTTCCCAGAGGTGTTTAGCACTTGTTGGTCCCTTTGTAAATGGTCATGGTCATAAAATAAAGAAAACACATTGAATGGGAAGGTGTGTCCAAACGTTTGGCCTGTACTGTATCTCTATTAATTCTTAATATATGAACCACAAAAGCAGAACCAAAAAAATCTATAATGGCTTAACCCTGTGACTTCTAATGATTAACAGTTTTTAAAATTCTAATAAACATTTAGAATACACACCTGTTGACACCACAGCTTGTGGCATATCTGAATATACGCCAGAACCATGAGACACAACGGCGCAATGTATGTGACGATGAAGAAGCCGGTGTGATAAACTTTGGGGTAGATCTCAGCTGTGAAATGAGAAAAGGAGATAAATACACAAAACTGTGACCAGCTGCTGAGGAACTATAGTCATAAATAAAACAGAGTCCACCTGATTTTTACTGATTATTAATGAACGGCTCTTGAATCGCTTTGAACTCAGGACTAAGAAGACTATAATGAAGTGTCTGGACAGCAAACCTTGGAAACACTGTTCAATATAATTGAAGCGAATGGAAATAATGCATTCATAAATCTGTGTGTAAATTGGTGGAATCGAAAAATGGATATGTTAAAAAAACATAATAATTAACTTTGATTGATTCCCAGAGGACAAATAAGTAAAAACCCAAATTAATAATACATTTATTTATGATCTGGCTGGCTTGTTTCACTGCTCAACTGCTTTTATAATACTGATTAATAAAAGTTTTCTGTTGCTGTTTTGATGCCTTTTCATTATTTTAAATAATAAAGCAGCTTGCGTTTCAAATGAATGCAGTCATTAGTTCGTCCGCAGGTACAAATACAGACTTTTGAAAGCTTTCATCTTTAGGAATAAAGAATCTGTTATTGGGTAGTTCATTTGTGCATTTAGGACTTATTTCTTTCAGAGAAACAAAACTAAATAACTACATTAGCAATTTAGATCATCAAATCCATCACTGTATGACTATCTGAATAGCTTCTTCACCCACTTTGGGCTGTCCAACTCTTCTTACTGCACCAAGAGAAGCTGTCAAAGAAACACCAGAGGGGCGGTCCTATCGCGAGTTGGCAGTGGATGTCAGGGTTAGGACAAAGAAAGTTTATTATCATGTGCACAAAAACACAGTGGCTTTGACAGTGCAATGACAGAAGACAGGATGCTGCTGCAGGGTATTAACCCACAGAAAGCAACTGGCCCAAACAAAATCCCTGGGTGAATTTTAACTGGGTCTGCTCAGGAAGTTGCCACAGCGCTGACAGACAACTTCAGCATCTCTCTGTCTGATGCAATGATCACTGTCTGTTTTAAGAGGTCAGCTATTGTTCCCTGTCCCAAAATGAAGTGAATGCCTAATTTACTATGACTCTTACCCCGGGTTTCCACGGGAGCCGTCAGCAGCATGTTACTGCAGCAGCACGTCTTGCTCGCGTAAGCTGCTGCTTGGCCCTTCCCACGAGACGCGTAGTAGCATGGGAGCAGCTGTCACCGACCGAGCACGAAGTCACACGAGTGACTTCGTCAGTAAACACAACAACAAGCAGGAGAAAACTACAACATGGTTTGTGTTTTATGTTCTGTCCGTTTTATAATCGCCAATACGGACCTGAAAAACAAAGGAGACCGCTAGCTAGGTGATAACTTCTCACGGGGACGCACAGTTAGTAACCTTTTTTTAAAAGTAAAGCAACCGGAAGGCAGTGCGTTCTTTATTCTGAAAATCTCGGTAGCTTCTCTCCATTTCCGCGTCCGATTTCCTGTCTTTCCTTCCCCAAAAATGTCGAACTTGACCCGTTTCAGAGGCGTCGCGCGTAGAAAATAGAACCGGCGCGAAAAGGCCGCGACATGCTGCTCCTGAGACGCGGCCGACTCGCGCTGCTGACGGCTGCCGACGGCTCCAGTGGAAAAGGTTCTGTTGACCACAGCGGTTCCTATCAGCAGCTATGACGTGCTGCTGCAGTAACGTGCTGCTGACGGCTCCCGTGGAAAGCCGGGGTTAGGCTGCTTGTTAAAAATGCCAAGATGCTGGTTTTGGCCAACATCAAAGACATGTTTGACACAACAGCATACAGGAAGAACTGGTTTGTCTTACCTTCACTCACCTGCTATTCATATGCCCAACTGCTGTTACTGGATTCAGGTCTTCATTATTCTGCACACTTTTGCATACTTTTCAATAAACTGCAGCTTCAATGTTGACTTTATTCATCTGGTGTTCAGCAAGGATGTGTCCTAAGCCCCCTTGGGCACGAAAATGAGGCTTTCAGTGCTGACTTCTACTAACTTGTGTGGTACAGAGTGTTCTGACATGTTCCATAACCTCCTGGTATGAGAAAAATGTTCAACAGCCTCACCTCTATAAAGAACAATAAAATCAGCAAAGGCAAAACCATTAAAGAGACTTAGGATCAGACCACACCCATCATTTGGGCAGCTCCAAAACATTGACACAGATGAAAAACTGATTTTTCCTCAAGGCTGTAAGAGTCATGAACTCTGACCTCTGCTGCACTTTGTTTATGACACTATAACCTTAGCTGTGTATATGTATGCATATGTAGATGAATTAATTCATTCTCACTTTAGTTTAGCCAGTTTTGACTCAGTTTGAATGACAATTTAAAATGAATCAAACATGAAACAGCAGATGCTCCTAATTCATGAAACTGTTTCGTTCCTTGGGTCGACCTGTGCTTCTGGCAGAACGCGAGAGAGCTAACAAAACACTTTCAAATGATCAGGGCGAGATTTGTGTAAGCTCACCTCCCCAGTGTTCGTCACACACTGTGAAGAGCCGGGTCTTGTTCGTGAGTTCAGGCAGCAGGCTGCTGCACTCCATCACAATGGCCTGAGGAATCATGATGATGCACGACACAACCCAGATGGCAACAATACTCTTGCGAGCCCTCTTGGCCGTGCTCTTGAACATAAGCGGATGACAGATAGCATACCAACGGTCCTGGGCGATGCAACTCAGCGTTAGGACTGATACTGAAACAGAGATGGTCTGTAGGAGAATAGGAGAAGGAAACTAGTTGGTCAAACTACTCGTTTACCTGATTGTTCTGTTGTACGATGCAGACCTCTCATAGGCAGGTGAACTTTAGGGTTCTATCTAATCAAAGCTTTAACATTTAAAAAGAAAGTCTGCATATCTGTAGACAGCAGCATGCTGCTAAGGTCCAGTAAAACAATAAGTTCCAATAGTGGAAACGGTTCTGTGACATTGTCAGACATCAGATGGCCTCAGAGAAAAAAAGCCACAGATTTCAGTCAGACATCTATCAGACTTCTCACTAATGGTGTTAGAATAATGGTCTCATGAAAAATGTTCTCAGACAAAACAACTTCACAAAAACACATTTCCCCTGACTTCTGGGAAATGTTTGCAACAGATGCAACGATAAAAAACGACTCACAAAAAAGCTTCCTGGATGCCATTCCTATTTCATCTGACAGTTTTTCCTGAGACTTTATTCTGACGCTGTTTATTCAGAAGTCAAGTGGGTTTTGATTGAAGTCTGATGCTTTTCCCTCTACACTCTGATGTCTGACGTTGGATGTCTGAAATGTTTTCCTGGAACCTGATGATGTTGTAAAAAAATTAAATGATGCTTTTTTTTAAAACTGATAAAACAAAGATAGCCTATATGTTTTTTGCAAATGAACTCTTGATATTTACAGCAAAAATACTACCAATCCAAATTATATTTTAGATCATTGTAATTTTATATATAACAAAGCCTGAGTGCAGAGCAGGGAATGTTGAGATCACTAGTCCTCTCCTTCCCTGTCCTCCTGATGGAGGACATCCGACACGCACCATCCATCCATCCATCCATCTTCTGAACCTGCTTTGTCCACATAGGGTCACGGGGTGGGGGGGGCTAGTGCCTATCTCCAGCAGTCAACGGGCAATTAGGCGGGGTACACCCTGTACAGAGAGTCAGTCCATCGCAGCATCCGACACTCACCACTGTCTAAATTTCATACTTGCCTGGATGTACAAAACACTCGGGGAAAATGGCCCAGAAGGATGTCTGTTGCTGAATTTCAATGACTACATTCTGTTCAGAGTAGTCATGCTAATTTCATGTGGAAGTTTAAAATCTTTGTTCCTTTCCTGCAGGGGGAAATAAACGTTCAGCTCGGCTCACTTGAATTAAATGTTCAGCAGTAGGATGCCAGATGCATACTAAGTCACTGTTACTGGCTAGTCTAAAAGGGTCATCATTATTATTATTATTATTATTAGTAGTAGTAGTAGTAGTAGTAGTAGTAGTAGTAGTAGATCAAAGGCAGAAGGACACTAAACCATCACATAGTCTGTATACTGTCTGACAGTTACTTTGAAAGAGGCTATACAAAGTCATGATGATAACAAAAAGGTGCTTTTATCATGTAATATACATAATAATTATAATAATAATAAAAATATTAGCTGCAATAATTTTATCATGCAGGTGAAATGACAGCATTCTGTAATTTATTCATGCTCACCAAAGATTAATGGATCAATATATTTAAAAACTCAAAGGTTTTATATTGAATTCATGAAAAATTGGTTATTTTGTCATTAAAACGCATTAAAAGAGACCAGCAGACGCTGGTCTACAGAGACCACTTTGAAATGAAGAACGTTTTGTGTCTTTCTGTGCCTGATGGTGCAATTGCCATGATGTAAGCCAGGAGGAGGTTAGGACCCAAGATGCAGAACCAGGATGACACAAGGCAGGAGTAGTAGAAAAACTTAAAAATCCTTTATTAGGAATAATTGCCCAAAAGTAAAATCCAAAAGGGCAGGTAGCCAAAAACCTAAATCCAAAAATCCTAATGCGCAAACCTAGAGACCAAGAGACGAAGAGCTCCTTTGAAGAGCAAAACCTAGAGACATCCAAATACCTACAGTATAGAGACCAGGAGAGGGAAACGAGACAACGCTGACACAAACAATGGACCGACAACACCCTGGGACACAGACAGGGTTATATACACAGAGGGAAACAATCAGGAAAACAGGTGACAGGTGTGTGGGGAGTGAGACCAGAAGGTATCAGGTGAGACTAATTAACTAAGTGGGGAAAACTGACTAGGTAAAATTAATCTACAGAGAACTAAAGATAAGTGAACTCCTAAACCTGAAAACTAGACACCAGAAGAAAAACACTAACGGGGTGGGATAACTAAATCTGAAATCACTAAGGGGGAACCTGAGGGAAACCTGGAGGGAGCTGGAGACCTAAAGGGGCACAGAAACCTAAGGAGAACACCTAAGGGGAACACCTGGAGTGGGCTGGGGAACACAAGGAGGCACAAGAGGGGGGCGCAGGACGCAGAACATGACAGCAATCTGCTGCATTTGTTGCAGTTTTTTGCATCAACCTGTGAAATATTCGCTAAATGTCTTTATAATCGTTTGTCTGCTTGAAATGTATTTTTCTGGCAGCTATAATTTTTATTTATTTATTTATTTTCAGAAAAGAGGCAATAAAAATGTTATTGTCTTCAGTTTGGTGACCTTCAAACTTCTTCTTAAAATTGAGTTTATTTTTTTTATTGCACTGGCTTCACAAATGACAAAACAACTGCCTGAAAACATTTAGTTTCTAGAACAGAACTTATTATAAGATACAATAAAAAAGATATCTAAAAGATATTTTAGATACAATTTTTTCGAATAAATATATAATAATAACAATGACAATAATAATAATAATAATAATAATAATAATAATAATAATAATTATAATTATTATTGTTATTATTATTTAAAATAAAATTGGTATAAAAAACAAGAAAACGCAATTTTTTCATTGCAACCAAATCTTTGTAGCATCAAATTACATTCATTCTAAAGGTCATCAGGCCATGTTTATTCTACATACACTTCAATTATTCATAATCTCACTATACTGCTCTTATCATATTTTTCCTGGTGTTTTTCTTCTACCTAAACAATAATCTCAACTCAAATGGCAAATGATTTTTAGTGACATTTAGATACGCTTCCCATACTTTGCTGCCCTTTCATTTTACAAATCGGTGACACCTTTGAAATTGTTCATGACAGGGCCATAAAGTTCTCTCATAATAATACACAAATAATATGTTCTTCTTTTACAGAGTGTCACAAAATAGTTTCACCCATCAAAACTAGAGATACAGATATATATTTTTAACATTAAGAGAAAAACACTTTGAAATGAATTTAAAGAACGTTTTGTGTCTTTCTGTGCATGATGGTGCAATCTGCTGCATTCGTTGCAGTTTGTTGCCTCAACCTATTAAATATTTGCAAAAAGTCTTGAGAATCGTTTGTGTGCTTGAAATTATTTTTTTTTCTGGAAGCTATAATTTATTTTATTTTATTTTATTTTTCAGAAAAGAGGCAATAAAAATGTTACTGTCCTCAGTTTGGTGTTCTTCAAACTTCTTTTTTAAATGTAGTTTATTTATTTTTTTATTGCACTGGCTTCACAAATAACAAAACAACTGCCTGAAAACATTTAGTTTCTAGAACAGAACTTATTATAATATTTACAAATTTTTATCTGGCTGCATTTTCATAACAAGACATTTTGTTCGCTGCGTGTTTATTCATGCTATAAAGGCAAGGCAGCTTTATTTGTATAGCCCATTTACACACAGAGGCAACTCAATGTGCTTTCTCTAATTTCCCTCTGGGATTAATAAAGTATCTTTGAATTGAATTGAATTTGAAGTTCCAATTAACAAGGATAGCAAAAACATTTAAATCAATAGGAAAAAATGGATGAATAAATAATAAAAGAGCTATGTTCTTTGAATTTCTTTATTTTTTCTAACATTAAAATATATATGATATAATAAAAGGAACACTTAAATGTTAAAAAATATATCTGTCTGTATCCATAGTTTTGATGGGTGAAACTATTTTGTGGCACTCTGTAAAAGAAGAAAATATTATTAGTGTATTATTATGAGAGAACTTTATGGCCCTGTCATGAACACTTTCAAGGTGTCACCAATTTGTAAAATGAAAGGGCAGCAAAGTATGGGAAGCGTATCTAAATGTCACTAAAAATCATTTGCCATCTGAGCTGAGATAATTTTTTAGGTAAAAGAAAAACACCAGGAAAAAAATATGATAAGAGCAGTATATATAGTGAGATTATGAATAACTGAAGTATATGTAGAATAAACATGGCTTGATGACCTTTAGAGTGAATGGAATTTGATGCCACGAAGATTGTGTAATTTTATCTTGGGTTGCAAAAAAAATATATATATGTATATATAGTTTTCTTGTTTTTTAGACACAGTATTTTTATGAATATATAACAACAACAACAACAATAATAATAATAATAATAATAATAATAATAATAATAATAACAATAATTATAATTATAGCTATTATTATTATTAATAATAATAATATATATATATTTTGTCATATATACTCTGAGAATCTTAAATGTCTGGAATGAAACATGTTTCAAATGTTGTGATACATTTCTATATTTTATTGTTCTATATTTTGGGGTAAACATTTGTGTACATTTGCACTTGTAAATATATTGGCTTGGTTTGCATCTGTTTTACACTATGCTGCTTTAATCCTGCAATTGACTGGCTGGCTGTCCAGGGTGTACCTCATCTGCCCATTGACCGCTGGAGATCAGCACCAGACACCCCCCACCCCCCCACCCCCCCGCTCCGGTGACCCTACGTGGACAAAGCGGGTTCAGACAATGGATGGATGCTGCTTTAATCTTTGTAATCCAACTTTCTTCCTCAATAAATAGGATTTTTCTATGAAGATTAAAAAAAGTTTGCAGCTTATATATAAATAATATTTTATTTTCTGTACTGTAAACAGAGAAGAGAAATCAAGATACAAGCCGCAAACAGGCGGTAATTTTCACATCTGCTTTGTTACCTGAAGATAAGGAACAATTTTGCAAAGCGTGTCTCCAAAGAACCACGTCTCTGTGATGTCAACCACAAGGCTTGCAGGCAGGCAGATGATGGTGACCAACACATCAGCCAGAGAAAGATTCACAATGAAGTAGTTGGTCACCGTTCGCATGTGTCGATTTTTCCACACTGCAAAACAAACTGAGAGAGACAAATGAGCAAACATGGTACGGAAAAGCTCATTTTTCTAGGAACAGTAGATCTAATGCAAGGTATTAATGTGAAAATGGCATGCAGGTTAGGATTAAAGTGTAATCTTCGCGGGTATCATACATCAGTGATTTGGTTGTTCCATATGCTCCTAACAGAGCACTGCGCTCTCAGACTGCAGGTTTACTGGTGGTTCCTAGAATATCTAAAAACAGGATGGGAGGCAGATCTTTTAGCTATCAGGCTCCTCTCTTGTGGAACCAGCTCCCAGCTTTAGTCTGTGAGGCAGACGCCTTGTCTACTTTAAGATAGGCTTATAACATTTTATTTGATAGGGCCTATGGTTAAAATCTGATGTTAGCCCAGATCTGGACAAGTGGGGGAGTAGAGGGAGGTGGAGAATACAGTCGGTAAAGATGGCTCTCCCTTGCCCTGCCTCCAACATGCCTCCATCTAAAAAGCTAGGTTATCCAGAGTTATCTCTGTAGTTGTGACGTGCCTTGAGACGACTCTTGTTGTGATTTGGCGCTATATAAATAAACAGAATTGAATGAAATGGCTTTGGCATCTACTTTGCACTATTTAGACTTGGGCTTTTATTGAATTTTTAAAGGCAGCTCCTTTATTTAGAAAAATGACATATCCAGGTCTTCTTCAACAGTGTATGGTGGACTGCCCCGTTGACCGACATTCTTAGTGGTGAGGATGTCACGTTGTTCATTGTCCGATAGCACAGGTAGACAGTTTGAAAGACACCTGTAAATTCTGTCCTTCGTCTGTACTTTCTCTTCGGGTCTTTGCCAACTATATATTCAAATTTATAGGATGGTTTGCCAGGCTAGCTCAAAGCCTCTACAAAAGAAAACAAGAAAATACAACTTTAGAAACAAAATGTATTTAAAAAAGAGATGAATCTTTTAAAACGTCCGCACAGTGCTGTGATTAAATAAGACATACTGTTGAAAGGGTTTGGATTTATCCTAACAAAGAGAATAACAAGCAAGATGCTTTTCCTTTTCCTGTTCAGTCTCATGCAATGCAATAAGACATACTTTAATGTTCTCCATCTATCAAAAAACGAGCATGTTGTTAAACAGGAGCTGATGGGAAATATTTTTGAGCATCAAAGCAGGAGTTGGTATAGAAGTATGCTTTTGACAACCAAGCATTCATGCTTTTGCAGCCTGCACAATATATATGTATGTATATATATATATATATATATATATATATATATATATATATATATATATATATATATATATATATATATATATATATATACACATATTTTTAAGATCAGTGCATCTTATCTGAAACAACCCAAAATTCCTACTTCCATTGTTCGTTTCAGTTTGCCATTCTCTATTTATTTTTGCTTCAGTTGTCTTCTGAGTAAACAAGCTGCACCTCAAACTTTTGCTGCTGCATGCTGACTTTGTGCCCAGCAAGGTTTGCTGAAGTTTCCAAAAGCACAAAAAAGGCAGGACCCCTTCAGATCACCCTGTTTGACCTGGAACTGTGCACAGCTGTTGAGTTGAATTCGGCGTAGTGTGTAAGTGGAGCAAAATGTGACAGATGGAGGTAAAGGTTCTATTCAGATTGCAAATTACTGGCAGCCAGCTGAGCATAGGAGGATGATGTGTGTGTGTTGAATGTGTGTGACAAAGAAAAGGGTAGCAAAAAGTTGAAGTTGGACACATTTTTAACTTAGAAAGAAAACTCCTGCAATTTATTTGTTACTGGATAGATTTACCAAAGTCTGTAGGCAAAAATACACTGTAGTAATGAATGAATGTAAATGGTAAAATAAATGTACTTTTAACATAACTATGTACAACAATGTATATTAGTCTTCATGTTGATTTGGCTTAGCGGACCCAGTTGACACAACATAATCAGGAAAATTCAACATTTCATTTCTTACCCCTACTTCATTCACACTAGAAGCATCAGCGGCGTAGAATGGCTGCAGAACATCACTGCTTCAAACAGAATCCAATATAGTCTATGGGGGTGTTTCAAACGGCTGAAATTTTCAGGCGCGTCCCAGAAGCGATATAAAACGTGCATTCCTTCTTGCTGGTTTAATGGCGGATGATAATCAAACCGTCATCTTTGAAGTCTCGAGGGATTTTGTGATCTCGCAAGTCCAGCGAGAGAAATGGCAAAGATTAGGATTAAAGAGATTCTCCTGGTGTGTACTGGCATGCAGCAAAGCTCGTGAGTAAACCGTTTTGCTGATGCCTCCAGTGTGAAGTAGGGGTTAGAGAGCATTTATTTACCAAACACACTTTTTTATTGCAGAAACTAGACACAGTATTAGTCCTGTTGCTTGGAAAGGCCAAGTGATATGATTACATTAATTTTACACCGTAATTGTGATCATAAATAATACTACGCCAGCTGAAATGTCTCTCATAAGTATTTGGTCCAATTTGACTGCAAGTCATCACGTCTTTGACATGGCAATTTAAAAAAAATATTTACATCAAAGGTGTTTTGATGGAGTACAATTCATTCCTTAGGGCATTAAGCACATCTGGCTTTATTAAAATGTATTAAAATGCACACACTGCACTTAGACCATTGGTTAAATACATGGGAAGGGTGAAAGTTGTTTACTTCCTTTTTTTTTTTCTATCAAAGCGTTTGCTTTTAATGTCACGCCTGATACTTAAAACTTTATTGTTATTGTTGTTGAATGCTTTGTAATTCCGACCAGACACGGAGACAGAGGTGAAAGAGAAAGGAAAAGAAAAGGTGGGGAGAGAGAGAGAGAGGGGGGGGGTTCCACAAAAATAAACAAAAATGAACAAGAGTCTGCTTCCAGACCTGCAGAAAAAAAGACAAAAAAAACAAACAAAGGGACACAAAAAAAGGGACACAACAACAATACAACAAGATCTACCTATCACTGCGTCAACTTGATGAAAAGAAAAAAATATATATATAATCAACATTGCTTAACTGAAGAATCACGATAATAAATCACAACGCATTAAGTGCCCACCATAGTCTTAAGACCTGTGTTTAACGTGCCCAAGCCCATACTTTTGAGAGCACCATGTGAGCACCTGTGTGTATACACGCGCTTGTTTATTTAAGGTTTTTCTATAGGAGCGCCCAACAGAGAGTGTGAGGGACCACAGATCCGCCCCCCAAAGATGCGCAGGAGACGGGGGGAGCTCCAAGTCCCAGAGATCCAGGCGCTGCCCCAGAACGCAGGAACCCCAAGGAGACTGCAACCAGGAAGGCCCCCACCCCCCTCGAGAGGCACAGAGGATCGCCCCGGGGGGCCACAACCAGCAGCCGGCAGAGTCCCTGGAGATATCAGCGGCAAGCCCACAGGCCCGCCCGCAGCCTCCCACCCCCTAGCCGGCCGAGCCCGGGACCCAGCGACCCGGGACCCAGGGGCGACCACCCCCGCCGGGGACCCAGCAGAGCCCCAGGGACCCAGACCCCACCAGGCAGCCACCGGGATCTAACAGGCAGATGCCAAAATCTTAATTAAGTTGTTTACTTCCTGTATCCAAGCATGTCTGATAGATGCTTTGGATTTGCATTGTCTCTATGAAGGTTTGATTCAGTCATCAAACCAAAACCAAAGCAATTGAATAATGAGATGCATGAAATGCGAAGACACAGAATGAGACCTAGCTGTTGAGATAGGTGGACCTTTGAGACTCAGCTGATGCAAACGCCAGCTAATTTCTCTTCACTTTGATTGGTTATTATGTATGGTAATCTTAAGCTGCGACTTGGGAGATAACTCTGTTATCCATCATTTTGAAGGTCAGTACTTAACTTTCCATCTTTTTCCTGTAGGCATGTTAAGATGCTACCAGGAGAAAATCAAACCCCGAATTGGCACTAAGGTCTTTCATCTTGTGTGGCTGCATTCATGTTAGAGGTATGAGATTGGAATAAGTGAGTATAGCAAAATGTTCTCAAAGATAAGACTACAGCCATGAAAAATGATGCAACTGACTTAAACTACGAGAAACATTTTTGATTTTGATATTATTGCTTTTGCTTGAGCTTTAACCTTACCTCAGATCATAACCTGCACGACTTGTATCAGCATGTCAGTGTCAGAATCTCGCCTGCTTCACAAACACTACAGTTTGCTCCTCAGTCTATGTTTTCCTCTAGAGATGCTATTACTCTGACTGACTGCTGGCCAATTCAGATGCATAAAAAGGTGTTAACATTTTCATATATTTGAAGACCGGTAAACACAAGAGCCATAAGTTATGGTGAACACAAGAGACAGCAGACATGCAGAGAATCCTAAACGAGTTGCTTTGATCATATCATCAAAACAACGTTAAAATACAAAATTCCTAAAAGAAAAATTATTTTCTTTTCTGAAGGAATGACTCCACATTTATCCACGTTTGATCTGTTTTGTGTCAACAGTTAGTCTAAGCTGTAATATGGATACATGTTTTTTTCTGTTAAAGACGACTCCCAGTGCTGCTGCGTTCACACTGAGATTACAGGAACTGACGCCGATCTGTTTGAGAAGCCACTTCAAAAGAAATCTGACATTTCAATGTGTCTCTTGAGGCATTGAGAGGGAATAAAACAGCACAAGTGTTTAAAATGAACATTTGTTTCATAAAAGCTAAACCGATTCTGTTCGTTGGGTTGCTTTTTAAACTAATTAGGATCAGACATACATCTTTTTTGTGTAAAGTTTTAATCAGTCATTTATCCATCCACATACAAATTCATACACTGATGGTGATGAGCAATAATGTAGCCACAGCTTCCCTGGGGGTACGGACGGAAGCAAAGCTATCGAACACTGGCACCGCCGGTTAAGCGTCTTGCCCAATTACAACAGCAGCATTCTCTGGAGGGAGCTGGGATCAAGTCTACAACCTTCAGATTACTGGTCAACCGAGTATCCCCTGGCTGCATCCCGGAGATCGGGGCGGGGCTAAATGTGGGCGGGGTTAAACGTTTAGAGGTGGGTGGAGACAACTATTTGACTCCTGCCCCTCTCTCAATGGAACCAGGAAACTGCGAGTAGCCCCTTTCTAAGGATTAGAAAGCCCTAAAAACCCACAAAACCCATGTAAAGCATAACATTGGTAATCAAATGACTTGTTTGCTGGATATCATGATAATTTTAAAGAGCAGATAATTACAGGTGCCATTTTTGATCCAATCTGTTCTGATATTTTTATTCTTTTTTCTACTTTTGTATGGTATGTGTATTTATAGCACATAGGTATTTGTGTCTTTTAGCTATACTTTTGGTACCTCTATAAAAGGTTCAAGCATTTATAAGACTATTCTTTGAACCTGTCAAAACCATTTTAATAGTTAATTTTATCAATGCTGCCTTTATTTTAATAGTCATTTCCCAAGTGAGTGTAAAACAGTATAGACAGACACGGGTAAATTTGTTGTACACTCAGTTATATCAGCTACATTAAGAGGAACAGAAACTTAAATTGTGCTGATACTTCTTAAAACATGCCAGGGTTTGAGGCGGGGTGGTGAGACATTGTGTGAGACACCCAAGAATGCAGACTAAATTTTTCAAAAAAGGTAAATTTAATAGAGCAAACAACAGCCAACACAGGAATAAAAAAAAGTACAAACAAATGAACCAAAAAGCACACAAAAAACAAGAGAACCTCCAAAAAAACAATGTGAGGAGGAAAAAGAATGCAAAAACTGTGACACCGCTGTACTATGGCATTTCAAAACCAGAAAACACCTCCATCTTCCTTTTTTCCTCAATTTCTCTGCAGAACTCCTCATAGTCTGACTGAAAACTAAACATGAACAGGAACGGTTCCCTGCAATCGTTCATCTCCTCTTCATCCAGGCCATCACAGAAGCATAACCTCTCCACTGCCCTCCGGCAAGCTTCCCTGTCCATGGTGATGACCTGGGGAAGGGAAAGGCTTCCTTTGAAGGACCTTGTGGTACACCACCTTGCTGCCTCAAAGGTGTCCTCAAGCAGAGAATTCTCCTAATCAAAAATAAAGACAATATTAAAATTACTGCTGTCAAGAGATTAAAAACATATTTTACATTAATTATGTATGATCTGAAAGTAATCTAATCTTTCAATTTAATCTAATAACTGTACATAATATAAGCCTTATTTTCAATGCTAACAGCTAGCCAAACAGCTGATGCTGTGGTCTTTCCAAACTGCAGCACGGAGGTGCGTCTGATACAGGAGAGAAGCTGTCAGCAGCCTTGATGTTCAGTGACACACCCATTACATCCAAATGGTAACAATAACTTTGGAAAAAGTTGCAAGAAGGGTGAAAAAAACAGAGTAAAGATAACAAGGTCGCTGAAATGAACACTGCTGCAGCTAATCTCTCACCGGTCTTGTCACTGTAACGTCAACCATTCAACTTATGAGTTTACATCAACCCTTCAAGAACAAGAAAAGAAACTGGTTTATTTAAAAGTCCCATAAAGAAGCAGTAGATTAAAAATGATAAGCATAATTAAAATATATAACACGTTAATCATGGCTGTAAAAAAATAATTGCAAGTAATGGAATTATTTGACACCTCTAATTAAAATAGAGGTTGGAGAAGAAACAATGACACAAGAAAAGTCCAGTTCCAGCAAGTTCTCAGCCTCTGCTAGAAAGGAAAAAGATTGTGGTTCATAAAAAGCATAACGATGCAGGTTGTAAAAAAGATCAGTTGCTTAGTATTCTGGTTTAATGAAAATAGAGAAATGACTGAAAAACTTGCTTTGGAAAAAAAAAGTGATCTGTCTGGAACGGTCTTAATTTTCTAATCTTGGCAAAGTAAGAATTTCATTGTGCAGAAAGCGTGTTTTTCTAGCTGTGCATATGACAAAAGGTTGAATCTTGAATCTTCCCACATCCCATTTCGACAACCTAGGGGGTTGTGTACAATAATACTTGTTTGAACAATACCTGATGCTGCACAGACTAATTCAGTATGGCAGGACTTCTTAGGAGGGACCACTTCCAGGCCCTGAAATAAGTGAAGGAATTATGCTTCAGTCTGCAAGCAACAGTTAAACTACAAGAATTAATCAAATTGTCTCTCACCTGTTTTACTCTTTCCTCTCTCCGTCTTTTTCGTGCCTGCACTCTGTCTTCCTCAGACCTTGGTGATACAATGACAACATTCATTCACTATGAAAACATTCATGTTATTCTGTTGACACTTGACTGAGCAAAACGTTTATATAATTACACATATCAGATTAGCACTCTAACCATAATAATAAAGCCCATCAGGTGTAGAACTCAGATACGAACATAAAAAGCTTAAAAAACTAACATATTTCCCCCTGTTAAATATATTTTCCACCAAAAAGTAATCATGACCACACAACATATCTCCCCAAAGCTATAAAAGTGTTCCTACAGGTTTCTTCAACTTAAATTTAAGTCTGTTTAAGATCTTTCTAAAGCCATATGGAAAATTAATACCTATTTCACGGCACTATCAGCAAAAAAGTAAATAAATAAAATAAAATTATTGAACTAATTTCATTTATTTATCTATACAACTTTACCAATATATTTTGACAAAACACTGGGTGGGCACTTGGTAGAAGATCGGTTATATTTTTAAACAAATGGTTAAAGAGCAAGTAACGTCTAAATTAACTTTTTTTTGCTGATGAACTGTATAAATGAGTGTCTAATAGTGTTTTAAATGTGTGTATTCATTATTTTAGCATTTTGGTGCATTTTCTTTAAAAATTAATTTTTCAGCCTAAAAACCACAGTAATGCGCCACCTTCAGCTTAAAACACAGAATTTGACACATTTTGAATAAATTTTAGCCAATGGCTAAAGAGTAAGATACTACGTAAACCAGTAGAGTACTACGTAGCAGCTCTTGTGCCAAAGTTATAAAGCAACGAGAGTCTCGGCCACGCCCTGTGGCGAGTTGGGAGTTGGATTTGCAAGCGAGTGTAGGACGGTTAGCGGTAGTTCAGCATTAGCATATATCATTAGCATATTCTAGTCTTTAGCATAGCTTTTAGTGTTATACATACTTATTTAGTGTTAGCTTGGCTGTTAGATATTGTAGTTTAGTTAGTGTTTAGCTGTTAGTTTTATTAGGAAAGTAATTCAGGTTTAGTGTTACATATCGTTAGCATATATCATTAGCATATTCTAGTCTTTAGCATAGCTTTTAGTGTTATACATACTTATTTAGTGTTAGCTTGGCTGTTAGATATTGTAGTTTAGTTAGTGTTTAGCTGTTAGTTTTATTAGGAAAGTAATTCAGGTTTAGTGTTCCATATCGTGTTAGTATGGTTAAAAGGTGTAGTGTAGTTGGTTGTGGTGGCTCTGTGGGGTTGCACTCCTTTCCACTGGACTTAGAAATTAGGCGCCAGTGGTTGCGCGCAATCGGTGTACTGGAAAACAGTCAGCTCCCGCCTGGTGCTGTAGTCTGCAACCAGCATTTTACCCGCGATTCCTTCGCCAACATGATGGAGTTTGAACTGGGTTATTCTGCACGTCTCCGTTTGAAGAGGGAGGCCGTGCCCACCGTGGCTCTTCCACGAATTAGATGCAGCCCACCGACTCTGCTCCAACACCATGGCGGGCTCCAGTCTGAGGTGAGTAAGCTAAATAAAAGTTAGCATCTTCTAAAGACAATTTCCTACCTAAATGCAAAGTTTGAGAGACGTGGTTCACTCCATTTAGCTAATATCAGCCTGCACTGCATTCGGGCTAATTTGTCAAGTTCACAAAATGTGGAACGGGATGTAAGGTTAGAATCAGCGGCGAATCGGAACATTTCTCAAAGCCCTGGCCAACAAAAAAGGTCCACTTGACTATTTCTGTCAGGCTCGGAGAAAATTCGGGTTGTTTTTGTGTCAGTCGGTAATTCAGCAACAGTGGCTCTAACGCAGCACTAGTTGACAGACATCATTACAGCGTGAAATCCAGCTTTACACCAAAGCCTAACCCGGTTCTGTGAGGAATTCTGTTCAGGAGGTCGCATTTCAGGTTCTTCACATCATATGTGACTGACTTTGACATTATAATAACGATCACACACTAGGAATGTTATAAAGCGCCTATATATATATATATATATATATATATATATATATTGGACAGTTTCTTTTGTATATTATATGACTTTATAAACTCCAACAACAATGTGCTTCTATTTTTTGTTTCAGGCTAAATCTACCCAAGACGTTGGCTGTCAGACTGATTTAGTAATCTGCAAAAATGCACTTGTCCAGGCTCATGTAAAGCCTTATCGACGTAGCAAAGGTGAATTATTTTTAATAATCTTCTATGTAAACATTTTATTATTACCTTCTAGTTTTAATTTGTTTTACAGATTATTGTTACACGTGATTTTATGCTATTTTAAACATTTATAAATGTGCTGCTTCTTTGTATTTTACATAGCCACACAGTTTAGAGCTCCCAGCCGCAGTGTGTCTTGTGACACAGGTACCGTGACGGAAATTCATCTTCCACAAAGTCCCAGAGCTGCGTCCACACCCCAAGGTGTCCCGTTTGTACCGGTCGTTGTGTTGTGAACACGACAACAGTCGGCACACTGCTCCGTGTGACACAACGGTGTTCATCCTGTGAGCACTACAATGAATGGTCCAGTCAGCCCATGGTGAACAGCATCCCAGCAGGAAACCTCCAGCTCTGTGCTGCTGTCCTTTTCACAGGCTCATCATTTAGCCAGATTTCTAAGGTATAGGCCAAAACTGTTTAGGTTAGTTTTGATAAGGTCTGTGCGTCTCTCATTTCATGTCGTAACTTTTCATATTTTAGTTCCTGGGTGCCTTCAATGTGCAGGGACTGTCCAAGCAGTCATTCTGTCGGCATCAGGCAAAGCTCTTAATTCCAACAGTGAGCTGGCAGTGGCAGCTAGAGCAAGCTGATATCATCCAGGAGGCTACTGAATCTGGACCTGTGACTCTTGGTGGTGACATGCGAGCTGATTCACCTGGTGAATACGTTTAAATTTATTTATTTTATTCCTTTGCTATCAAATGTAAATTAAGTAATAACTTGCATTTCTTGAAGGACACTCAGCCAAATATGGCAGCTACACCATGATGGATCTCAAAAGAAACAAAGTTATTGATATCCAACTTGTACAGGTACAACATTACCTGATGATTCCAAAACATTTAATGGTTAATTATTCACAGATCAATGGAGAATTATGTTTATTTTCAGAGCAATGAAGTTGGGAATAGTGTGCGAATGGAGAAGGAGGGATTTGTGCGAAGTCTGAGCACACTTTTGGAGAGGGGGGTCGATGTGCAGCAAGTCGTGACTGACCGCCACACAGGAGTGCAGAAGTATTTGAGGGAGGAAAAAAAGGAAATCAGTCACTACTTTGACCCCTGGCACATGGGAAAAGGTAATCTTTGGGGATGTATATAGTGAATATTACAGGATTTTTTTTTTCTATTTTAAATGTGGGTCTATTTGGCTCTCCAGGAATTGGTAAGAAAATCGAAGAGCTGGGGAAGAGAAAGACGACCCAGGATGTGAGACTGTGGAAGCAAAGTGTGGTGAACCACCTCTACTGGTCAGCATCCAGTTCCTCCTCAGGACAGGAGGCAGTTGCAAAGTGGACTTCAGTTGCCAACCACATCCAAAATGTGCACAGCCATGACAACGCCCTGTTCCCTAGCTGTCTGCATGCACCTCTGGATGGAGAACAGGCAAGACAGTGGCTCAAACCAAGTAAGTGTAGCATGTACTCATTACAGCTGAGCCTTTACTGTTTGGTTTATTTACATTTAAAACACGTCACCCCACAACAGAATATTTGTCTTCACCTCCTTCAACATGGAGAAATATTTTTTTTTTGAGCATGTGAGTAACAGACATCACATGTAGCTGCTAAGGTCACACACCACCATTTGGCCAACAGCAATTAATTACTAAGAATAAAATGCTGTGCTCTCCTCCTTGAACCGTCACCTTATCGTGGTGGAGGAGTTTGAGTGCCCTAATGATCCTAGGAGCTATGTTGTCTGGGGCACTTAGTGCCCCTGGTAGGGTCTCCCATGACAAATTGGTCTTAGGTGAAGGGTGAGACAAAGAACGGTTCGAAGGATCTTTCATGGTGGTGAAAACGAAGAGTCGGAGTACCCGGCCCGGAGGGTTACCGGGGTCCCACCCTGGAGCCAGGCCTGGGGTTGGGGCCCGTGAGCGAGCGCCTGGTGGCCGGGCTTTCGCCCATGGGGCCCGGCCGGGCCCAGCCCGAACCGGATACATGGGCTCGTCCAACTGTGGACCCACCACCCGCAGGAGGAACATGAAGGGTCCGGTGCAATGTGAATCGGGTGGCAGACCAAGGCGGGAGCCTTGGCGGTCCAATCCCCGGACAAGGAAACTAGCTTTTGGGACATGGAACGTCACCTCGCTGGCGGGGAAGGAGCCGGAGCTTGTGGCAGAGGTTGAGCGGTACCGGCTAGATATAGTCGGACTCACCTCGACACATTGCATTGGCTCTGGAACCCGAGACCTGGAGAGGGGTTGGACACTCTACTTTGCTGGAGTTGCTCCGGGTGAGAGGCGGAGGGCTGGGGTTGGCTTTTTGTTAGCCCCGAGACTCTCTGCCTGTGTGTTGGGGTTTACCCCGGGGGACAAGAGGGTAGCTTCCTTGCGCCTTCGGGTCGGGGAACGGGTCCTGACTGTTGTTTGTGCTTATGGGCCAAATATCAGTTCAGAGTACCCACCCTTTTTGGAGTCCCTGGGACGAGTGCTAGATAGTGCTCCATCAGGGGACTCCATTGTCCTGCTGGGGGACTTCAATGCTCACGTGGGCAATGACAGCTTGACCTGGAGGGGTGTGATTGGGAGGAACGGCCCACCTGATCAGAACTCGAGCGGTGTTTTGTTATTGGACTTCTGTGCAAGCCGCAGTTTGGCCATAACGAACACCATGTTCGAACATAAGGATGCCCACCGGTACACTTGGTACCAGGGCAGCCTAGGTCACAGGTCGATGATAGATTTTGTAGTCGTATCATCTGACCTGCGACCGTATGTTTTGGACACCCGAGTGAAGAGAGGGGCGGAGCTGTCAACTGATCACCACCTGGTGGTGAGTTGGATCAGATGGCAAGGGAACATGCCGCGTAGACCTGGCAGACCCAAACGCATAGTGAGGGTCTGCTGGGAACGCCTGGCAGAAGAACCTGTCAAGACGGTCTTCAACTCCCACCTCCGGCAGAGCTTTGACCACGTCCCGAGAGCAGTGGGGGACATTGAGTCCGAGTGGGCCTTGTTCCACTCTGCGATTGTCGAGGCGGCTGTTGCTAGCTGTGGTCGTAAGGTGGCCGGTGCCAGTCGTGGTGGCAACCCCCGTACCCGCTGGTGGACACCAGAGGTTCGGGGAGCCGTCAGGCTGAAGAAGGAGGCCTACAGGGCGTGGCTGGTCTGTGGGTCTCCGGAGGCAGCAGACAGGTACCGGATAGCCAAGCGGGGTGCAGCAGTGGCAGTTGCCGAGGCAAAATCTCGGGCGTGGGAGGAGTTTGGTGAGGCCATGGAGAAAGACTATCGATCGGCTCCAAAGAGGTTCTGGCAAACTGTACGGCGCCTCAGGAGAGGAAGGCAGCAACTCGCTCACACTGTTTACAGTGGGGATGGGGAGCTGCTGACGTCAACTGAGGCTATAGTCGGACGGTGGAAGGAATACTTTGAGGAGCTCCTCAATCCCACCAATGCGCATTCCGAGGAGGAACCAGAGCTGGGAGGCCTGGGGATGGACTGTCCGATCTCGGGGGCAGAAGTTGCTGAGGTAGTCAAACAACTACACAGCGGCGGAGCCCCGGGGGCGGATGAGGTTCGTCCTGGGTATCTTAAGGCTATGGATGTTGTAGGGCTGTCATGGTTGACACGTCTCTACAACATTGCGTGGTCATCGGGGGCAGTTCCTAGGGAGTGGCAGACCGGGGTGGTGGTCCCCATCTTTAAGAAGGGTGACCTGAGGGTGTGTTCCAACTATAGGGGGATCACACTCCTCAGCCTCCCTGGAAAGGTCTACTCCAAGGTACTGGAGAGGAGGGTCCGATCGATAGTTGAATCTCAGATAGAGGAGGAGCAATGTGGTTTTCGTCCTGGCCGTGGAACTGTGGACCAGCTCTATACCCTTGCAAGGGTGATGGAGGGGGCATGGGAGTTTGCCCAACCAATCCACATGTGCTTTGTGGATTTGGAGAAGGCTTATGACCGTGTCCCCAGGGGCACCCTGTGGGGGACGCTCCAGGAGTATGGGGTGGGTGGCTTTCTGTTAAGGGCCATTCAGTCCCTTTACCAGAGGAGCGTGAGTTTGGTCCGCATAGCCGGTAGTAAGTCGGACCTGTTCCCAGTGAGGGTTGGACTCCGCCAGGGCTGCCCTTTGTCACCGGTTCTGTTCATCACTTTTATGGACAGAATTTCTAGACGCAGCCGTGGTGTGGAGTGTGTCGAGTTTGGTGGCAGGAGAATCTCGTCTCTGCTTTTTGCGGATGATGTGGTCCTCCTAGCTTCATCCAGCTCTGACCTTCAGCTCTTGCTGGGTAGGTTCGCGGCCGAATGTGAAGCGGCTGGGATGAGGATCAGCACCTCCAAATCTGAGACCATGGTTCTCGACCGGAAAAGGGTGGCTTGCCACCTCCGGGTCGGGGGAGAGGTCCTACCTCAAGTGGAGGAGTTTAAGTATCTCGGGGTCTTGTTCACGAGTGAGGGTAGGAGGGATCGGGAGATCGACAGGCGGATTGGTTCGGCGTCTGCAGTGATGCGGACGCTGACCCGATCTGTCGTGGGGAAGAGGGAGCTGAGCCAGAAAGCCAGGCTCTCGATTTACCGGTCGATATACGTCCCAATCCTCACCTATGGTCATGAGCTTTGGGTAATGACCGAAAGAACGAGATCGCGGATACAAGCGGCCGAAATGAGTTTCCTCCGTAGGGTGGCCGGGCTCAGCCTTAGAGATAGGGTGAGGAGCTCGGACATTCGGGAGGGACTCGGAGTAGAACCGCTGCTCCTCCGGATCGAAAGGAGCCAGTTGAGGTGGTTTGGGCATCTGGTCAGGATGCCTCCTGGACGCCTCCCTGGGGAGGTGTTTCGGACATGTCCTGCCGGCAGAAGGCCCCCGGGTCGACCCAGGACACGTTGGAGAAGTTACATCTCCAATCTGGTCCGGGAACGCCTTGGGGTCCTGCCGGAGGAGCTGGTGGACAAGGCCGGGGAGAGGACGGCCTGGAGCTCCCTAGTTGGGATGCTGCCCCCGCGACCCGGACCCGGATAAGCGGAGGAAGACGAGACGAGACGACGAAAATGCTGTGCCGAAATTTAAACACACGAGTGCGCCACACAACTCATGGTTTTAGGCAGAACAGCCATAATTGACATAATATGTACTAAAATGCCGTAAGTAATGACCACACCTGTCTACAGCACTATTAGTCACTCTTTCATACATTTGTCATCTAAAAATGTAAGCTATGGGTAACTTTTTCTCAATGGAAATAATAGCAACATTCTAAAGTTGATCAAATTGTAATTTTTGTAATTAACATTTTCTACGTAGGCACAGCATCATGTGAGAAGCTCACTGCCATTCTGTTAGCTCCACGGTTTGTGAAGGACGTAGAGAAGATAAGCCCTCAGTACCACACATCCACCTTGGAGGCTTTCCACAGTCTCATCATCAGATTTACTCCAAAAAGTCAGGTCTTCTCCTTCAAAGGAATGCTGTCTAGGTAATGAATACAACAAATGTTCAAATTAATGCCTCTAATTGTTCAAATTTTAGCATGAAATGTAGAATTTTGCCTCAAATCTACATGGTTTGTTTATTTGATTATTTCAGATTACAAATTGCTGCAATGCACTATAATGAAAATGCAGCACGCTCACATGCAGCAACAGCAACTGGTGAGCTGAGATATGCTGTAGTGTACCCAAAGTACAAACGTGGAGACTACACAGTGAGAGCCCTGAAGACCAATCCAACCTCATGTATGTCATATATTGTATGATAAAACCAAAATGATGGTCATGGAGAGCTATTGTAATACTGAAAACCCTTTTCCAGTATATGTGCACAAGCTTATGGACCTGCTGTTCGACTCTGTGGTGGTGGATCCTCTCCCATATCAGGAGTACTCGGACAAAATTACGGTTCCAGAACCGCTCTGTGCCCAGTTCCAAAGACCAGATAAACGGGATGCTGTGAGCAGGCACAGGTCCAGGTTTTAAAGTGCACGTCAGGTGAGCTACACAGGAGATTGTAATTATTAGTTAGTACTCTACTCTGTGTGGTTTCTCCTTTTCTCCTCCTCAGCCAGGCTGCACACCACTGTACGACAGAGGAGTTACCTGTCGTCATTATGGATCTTTATGCTCATCCACTCGTGACTCATGCTGTCCACCTCCCAGATGTCTATTGATCTCTACAACCTTTCTGCTCTGTGGCTCCCATACAACTTGAAAATCTTGGCCGTATGTAACATAGCAAAACTCACCAGTCTTGCTTTTGTAAGTCATACTAGTCATACTAATATTACTTTTTCCTTAGAGCCTCCTGATCTTGTAACAGAAAAACCTGTGCTCCCGGGATCCATCTCCACGTTTGTCATCACAGTGAAAGCTACCTCCAGTCTAAGGAACCTATGAAACATCACTGTTGGCCCAACCTCTCCTCACATGGCTCCAGAATCTCTGCTTGTGGTTTAGAGTTTTGTCAAAAATCTTGAAAGTTATGATCAGATTGTTATCTAACATTGTCTTAGTAGTAGCTATAATAAATGTTATCTTTAAAGCGCAATTGTGTCTTTTTCAATACAAT